ACAACAAAGGTGTCGTCTCTCTAGCCTCTAAGTTTGATAACTAAATACAATACATAAATACAAGGAAATGGTTTAGGAAAATAATTATGAAACCTTGATCTTCCTGTGACTCTTAAAATGATTGCCTTAACTGAACCTTTAAATTGCTGGTAAGAGGAAAACGAGTTTAAAAATAGTTAAAGTGTTAGAACCCCCACTTGAAACACACTGTAGCAGCTGGTGCCATGGGGGAAGTGCTGAGCATGCTCCACCCATCCAAATCTTCTAACATGACCTTGAAATTAGCCAGCAAATGTCTTTACCAAAGGCTGAAGGCTCAAAAATGGGCTCTGAGGATGAGCCTGGAGCAACTTCCAGGCCTGGAAGCATGTCTGTGGATTCAGGTGGCCACAGTACAGCCAGCCTTGCCTTCACTAGGACCTGCTGTATATCCAAGCACACAGTCATATTTTGGAAGAGTTCAAAGGTGGGTGGAGGAAGTTGGGTCTTTGTAGATAATCTCACTATTTGCAGCAGTATGAGAAGACCAAAGGGCAACTCAGGTGGCTGTCTCACAAGCAGAACATAGAGCAGAGATTTAGTACAACACAGAACATATGGAGGAAGAAAAAGACTAAAGCAGTTTCAAAATACGGAGTAGAATATTTAAGTGTTTATTCCCAAAGGTACATGGTGAATTATGGGCCACTGTGGGACACTGTCTTATTGAGTTCATAGTCTTGGGGTATAACATGGATGCTTTTGTGGAACAGAACCTCAAATTATTTAGAAATACCTGTTTAAAATTACTTAGGGCTCCATGAAAGAACTGTTACTTCTGCATGCTTTACCTTAAGTTGAAAGAGAAGGGAGTCATGAAGTAGCCTGCATTAGTGTACAATATGGGTGTCAAACATACAGCTTACAGACCAGATCCAGCCTGCCAGGAGTCTGGCAGACTACTAGAAGTTGGAGGAGGAATAGCCTGCCACAGAATTCAGGAGCCTCCAACATCAATGGACGTGACCATCTGCAGCAACCCCCCAGACCTGTGCTGCTATCCAAATACAGCCCTGTACCACCACATACCTGGGGAGGTCCCATTATGCTGCCCAAACATAGCTCCACATTGCTGCCTGAATGCAGCTCCCTGTTGCTACTTGGTCCCAGACCCATGCTGCTTCCCAAACACAGCTCTGTGCCGCTGCCAGAATATGGCCCCACTTCAGTTGCTGCTAGCTCCGCAGATCCAACCTGGGCCATGCCCTTGCAGTCCCTATCTAACCAAGGGCCTGCGGCAAGTTTGATACCTCAGCTGTATAATATTTCCATATTGTTGTTGTCATCCTCTTACTGACTAATGTTGATAGACATTGGACAGTATGGGAAAGGAGGACAGCAACAATAACTCATTTGGTGTTATAGATGTGCTGGATATTAATATAAAGTTGCTGGACAGCGGAGGAAAAGAAAAGTCAATATCTGTGAATATTGTTATATCCACAGTTTTTCTTAATCACCTGAAAAAAGTTAAGCACTGAGATCAGTGAAAATGTTCTAAACAAGAGATGTTAAAGCAAGATCAATATTACTGTTATCATTTGAGCATCTAAAATTGTTCCCCATGCTGTACAGAATACAAAAACATTGATGATTTGGTATGTCTTGTTTGATATGTCAGAAAGGCAGCTCAAGATGCAAAACTGAGCAGAGAGAGAGTAGAAAAGTGAGTCTGGGAGTCTTATGCGCAGAGATGATAATCACAGCTACAAGAAGAGAAAACGGTACACAAGTTTAGAATATATATCCCAGGAGAAGCTACCAACAAGAAGACCATTTGAATATTGAAAAGATACTTTTGAGATTTGAGAGTTAATATTAAAACCTGTAAATAGATTCTGACCTGTCTAAAATATGTATAGTTGGATAACTAGATCCTGTGAAAAGCAGAAAATATTCCTGAAAATTTAGGGGAATGATATGCCAATTACTTAACATGAAATAATACCCTAATTTAGAGAGGGAGAAGTAGAAGAAAATGTAAATGGTCTTATTCCTTAGAATGTCCTCACGGTTGCCATTTATCTAGAACATCCCTCATTTTATGCTCATCTTTGTTTCAGTTGCATAGAAGTAAGTTGTATTCTCACTTATTACTGGAAATCTGTGGTTCTCGATCTTTCCAATACCACCATCCCATTTTATCATAATAATACTACATAGAAATTTTGAGACCCACCAGTAATAAAACGCAGGGAGTTACTATTTTTCTGCCTTTTATGAGCAGTTCGTGACCACTAGGCTCAGAAGTCATCCATAACAAAAATGCTGCATCATGATAAGATGTTACAGAAAGATGTACTGCATAATGGAAATTAATCCCACATCACTGTTAACTTTGCACACTGTTATCATCTTGCATCTCTCAGGATGAGGTTCTGTGTCCTTTATTAGTTCCAGGTTGGCTTTGTAGAGCCTTGTTTTTTAATTGTAGTACTACAGATTTACTCATCTATATACCACTTAGTTTATAGCATTACATCAGACTTCTACCGTACAAGGCTATAGAGAGGTTGCCAGTTTCTGAGAGTTCCCCATTCCCAAGTGTCAATGCCAATGTTCTTGCCTAAGCATGTTCAGCTTTGAGAGTGTCTGACATTTGGGTGGGACACATTCCATGTACAGGACGGTGGGGAGGTCTAACATGCAGCATCACACTAATTATAGCAATCTGTTGACAAAACTGAGTTGGAAGTCCACCGCTTTCAGCAGCAGAATTAGGACTAAGATCCACAATAGCCATGCACTGAGCAGTTGTATTTGCGGCTCCATAGCCAAAACCACAGGAAAACTATTTTTAGCAAACTGAGCCCTAAATAGTGGAAACACTGAAAGTATAGCTCACACAAGGGGCCAAATTCTTCTCTGGGCTACACCCATTCCCCAGTGATGCTGGGATGGAACTACACAGAACTGCACTATAACACAAATGGGCAAGATTTTTAATAGGTGGCATCAAAGGATTTTATTCTTTAAACAAATAATTGTTTTTTTCCTGCTGAAAACAGAAAGAAAAAGGAAAGAAGCAACTGACAATGCAACCCTAGTTGTCTGTCATTTCACTTGCAGTGGAGTAAATGCATCCTACAGTCCCTGTATGCATACATAATGTTTATACCTAAACTAGCCCTCCATTGATTACACGGATACTTCTGGCCGGCAGGGGCTGTCACTTTCAAAATTGATGAAAAAGGTTCTCATGATTCAACAAACTATCTAGACCGAATGAAAAAAGTGCATCTATAGTCTGGGACAAGAGAAGCAGGTGAAAATGCCTCTGAGGACCAAGCCCATACATAATTACTGTTAGTTATAACCGTAATTGATTCCAAAAGACAAATACATTCCACTGCCATTATTGCCACATGCCATTTTCCAGCACAGTGGTACTAGCAATAATATTCCTGTTATTCAAAATCACATACATATGAGCTGCTTGAGAGCATGACTTTTCTTTCTAATTGATGTAAGTACTGTGGAGTGTTTCCACTGAGGTCCACAAAGTAACACAGGTGCAAAGCTGGTATCAGGCTTTTTTGAGGTAAAACGGATCATTGCGCACTTAGTGATACAACTAACCAACAAATATTACCTTTGGCTTAATTAATATCCTCTCCAGTATCAAGATGTGCAGCTGTAAGTACATTCATGCCTATCTCATGAAACTGCTAAAAAACCTCAAGGGCAAGATTATTAGCCTTTCCTGTTTTGCTCAGATTTCAAATACTTTTAGCACAAAATTTGTCTTTTCACCCGAGTGTTTTCTGTATTAATTCAACCAAGTGAAAGAATGAAAGTAAAAGTGTGAGTGATTTTAGGAACAATTTTGCCGATTCTGCTTCTATTTTCACAGGAGCTATTTTCAGCAGCCAAAAATGCTTTTTATGTGGACAAAAGCAGAATAGAGGATGCCCTCTAAATTAAAACTTAGTGGTGGCCTAAGAGAAGATGAAGAAAAAAGGAAAGGTAAGAAATATTTAATTTTCATAAAAGTAACCAAAATATTTTCTTGTTGCCATTTTTTACCACTCATTGCACTTCCCTAGTCTTTAAACTCACAATGACACAAACATTTCATAGAAATGCTGTGGGGAAGATGGGAAGGGGGATAGGGGGGAGTCAGCTTTTAAATTTAAGACAGGGTTTTTACAAGGCTGAAAGAAATGGAGAGAAAAATAATTCTCTGTTTATGCCTCAATTTCTCTGTATTTGGCATAGTAAGGGACAAGTTAAAACTTCATAAACTTTTTCACTCCAGGTGCTTATATGGGTCGTAAGGCTTGGTCAATAAAGTAGTTGAAACCCCTAATTACAGTGCACTGCATCTTCTGAACTGCATTTTGGGTTCTCAAAGCTCTTTTAGATCATATTTACAACACACACATACTATTCTCTGTTTTATACGTTAATTGCTTCCCATCATGAGGACAGAATTGCACTTTTAGATTGGGTTAAAGATACTGAAAGATAAACATTACACAATTTGCTTGACTGTCTGGAATAGAAACCCTAATACCATTCAAACACAATCCTTTTATATGCATATTTCAAACCTATGCTTCAGCACAAAATCTCTCCTTCTCCACAGACGTATACTTTTTTAAAAATAAAAAACATTTTTCCCTATCCACATTATTCCAAACCCACTATGAATGTTAGGAATTTTCTACAACTCCAGTATTAAAACTTTATTGTTTCATGATTTAACTCAAATCCTAGAAATTAATGATCTTAGCAGCAGATGCTGCCTTGGAAAGTTCTACATGCACAGGCCTGTGCTTAGATCTTAGCCACGTTATTCAGTTACATTCAGTTTAACAACAGTAAAATCTGCAAAGTTTTAGGATCTGACGCCATGTTACCAGCTCTCCTCTTTCCCCTGAAATACAGGGTTTAACAAATTAAGAAGTAGACATATTTTAAAGGGAAGGAAAAAAATAAGCAAATCTCCATCATTTTACCTTGGAGAAAGAAAGTTATTGCAGCTCCATTTTCTGTGCCCTTATTTTTTTTCCTCTAGTTCCTTTCCAAGTGATTTCTATTTCTCCCTTTTTCTCTCATACTGGCGACAGACAGGCTAGGGGTGGAGCTCTGAGTGAAGTATCCCCCTGCCTGCTGGGAGAACTGAGGTATCAGATAACAAATACTTCTCAGCAAACAACCAAGGGCAGTCAAGCTGGGAAGTGTGTGTGTGTGTGTGTGTGTGTTTGTGTGTGTAAAGACTTCAAATTCCCACTTTAGAAACTTTCTGGAAGTTGTATACCAACACAAGTTTTGTTTCTTTCATCTTGAAATAATGTTTTTAATTGCAATACAATACAGCCATACTTTGAACCAGCAACATGCTTCACAGAATTTCTGATCAATGAGATTATCAAAAATCTTTGATTCTTTTCCAGTGAACAGTTTAGTCAATACATTTTATTGTCTGTTTGTGAATCGCGAATGGAGGAGGAAAATGTATTGAGTCTTTGCATTATGTTTCTTTGTACTCAAACAGTATATAGATACTTTGGGTTTAAATGATCTTTTTAATTTCCATATATTAAAAGGATAATAGAACAAGAAAGAACACAAACCTACTTAAAGTAAAATGGTGCTGTCCTCTGAATGGACTGAAATGAACACAAATAGCTGCCTTGTTCTGCTGAGAGCAGAGGTCTTCACAATTTCAAAGTGCATTATGTAGAAACACAAGTTTTGACTCCAAAGTTGGAAGCGCTTATGCCAAAAAGTACGATTACTCACGTGTGCAAGCATTACCACAATCAATCCATTTATAATTATCACGAGGCTCTTTTCAGTCCAAAGGTTTGACCCATGCTATTGGTGATTACGGTACTGATTAGGACAGCTATGTCCGATTTCATTTGCTAATATTTTACTATATTGATATTCTCTTTTATAATCGCTTGTGTGTTTCTACTTGTTTTGAAAATTGTTTGCGCAGCATCCTGATTATTTCTGCCACAACTATCATTATAAATTTGCAAATTATACAAATAATCAGCTCCTTTAATAGGGATAATTCTTCTGTTCACAGCCAGGAGAATGTGAAATAATTTTTGGTTACATTAACAAGCCTTTCTCTGTCAGAGAAACACAATGAGCTTCAGGTGCAAGACTCCTTGCAAACTGATAATGAGTTTATACTGTATTTCACAAAAATGCATTAATTACTATAATCAACATTAGGAGACTATTACTGTGGCACAGTAAAGGTGATTTGAATGGATGTCTTCATTTAATTACACTTCAGTTTGTTAACCCAGCTACTGAGTTCAGTTTTTCAAAACAAGAAGAATATTGATATGAATAAATCTAAACATAGTAGACTCAAAACAAAATAGAGCCTTGTATGGGATGGAAATACTGTTCCACTGTTTTGAAGTTTGGCTTCGAAGAGGAATCAAACCCTCAAAATTTGAAATTCTGCACTAAGGAGAATTCTAAAAATAAAAACAAGGTTGAACTGTTCCATTTTGTCAAAACTGAATCCATTTATTTTGATTTTTTCTTTTAATTTTGTGTTCTAAGATGCAACACAGTAAAAAAAAATCTTACCTGAAAAGTAATTAAAAAAATAAATAAATGAGTTTCATTGTAAAATGTTTAAAAATGACATTTCAGAGATTTTTCTCTAGTTGATTTTCTGCTGAAATGAATTTTATTTTAATTTCAACAGAAATGTATATTCCAATAGAATATCAGAGAGGGAGGGGGGAATTGTTTTTTTTTTTCCCTCTCTAATCAGGTCTAAAGTACATCAGAATCATTTGGCAAACATTTACTTAATTATAGCTTCTGTAAGAGAGGCATTTTTATCTCTAATTTAAACATAGGGAGCATGAAACAGAGATCAAGAAAGTGACCTGTGCTCATACAGTCCATGTCAGAGCTGGGAATAGAACTAAAAATTATTTCCTAATCATCCAACATTGAACTTTCACCACTAGACTGACAGCTTCTATAACAACCTACCTTCAACTATGCTTAAAAATGTTGTAGTTTCCTTGAAGCGTTCTGGTTCCATTCTTTTCTTCCTCTTAGCACAAGTGTAAGGAACTAAGTATTACAGCCTTGGTAACTTGATATTTCTAAGAGGGCCTCAACAGCATCAGTTCTTTCTTGCCTTTCTCCAGCCATGATTTGATTAAAAATTTACAGCAGGTACAGGATTATATGCAAAACATACATATTTACAGTTATATTTAATTATCATGATCAGAGCATAGGGTTATTTGAATGTAAAAACTGAAGGCATTGTAATCCTCTGCATTTTATAACAGAGCAAACACATAAATATAGCTGCAGCCCGCCCATTGCTTTTGCACCTATTAGAAGCCTAAATGAATATAGGTGACTGGATCCTATTCCGTCCAGTCTGAATCCCTGAAAAATATATTATACCCCTACTTTTGTATAACACCTTCATCTGATCCTTTAAGGCTTAATCCCAGAAGGCAGTGAGCAGTATTTGCTGCACTAATATTTTTCAAGGACTTGAACAGCAGGGAATCAAATCGCTCCTTGGCACCTAAGTCCACTTGGGCACCTAATACATGAAACAGAATCTGGCCACTACCATTTAATCTAAGTACATTTAATTTTATTGTAGTTCTGCATTCTCTGACATTCTTCAGATAACAATCAGTGAAGAAAGAAGTCTGAAAAATGTCACCAATTAAACCCCCCCATAATTACAGTACTGCATTGTCTTGCATGCAATATGTATTGTTTCCAAAATTCAGCTGCTGGAAATTGGTGTGTGCATTATAATTGAGGAAATATGGTAACAGCCTCTGCCAGGGACAATCAAAAGTAAAGCTGTATGTGCTCCATGCCAGAGCTGCTGGCTGTGGCTGCTTGCTGTCTCCACCCCTGCAGAAGCTCTCAAGGAAAGTTCTTTTTTTTTCCTTTCTGCTTTTCAAAAGCAAGGCACATATTTCATTAGGGACAGGTTGTATGCAAGAGAATACATTACTTTTGCTTATGCAAGCGTAGATGCGTTTGAAGACAACTTCTACTTGATGTCACTCATCTTGTTTATGTACAATCAAGATCATTTAAATTCAACAATTTAAACAGTTTTTAGTTTTAGATGAGAATCAAGTTGAATTCTAGGCTCTGGACATCAAAATAATGCAGGCACACACAAACCTTGCACATGCAATATTATATTGGACGGTTTTCTCAAATTCTTCATGCAGATTAATCCTGGGGGAAGAGGACCAATTTGGGCAGGACTGATGAAGATGAAGGTGGATGTACAACTTCAAAAGTGTGGAGATAATGCACCTGACCTCTAAGCTCTGACCCAGCATGCCCTGTCTATGGCTTCAGCTATGTGGGAGGGATGCAGGGAAGCAGCTTGCTCAGGTTTGGTGGGGAGCGAGAACCAGTTCTGGTTTCTCTCATACCCACTGGGCACATCTACATGTATACTTTAATGTGCAATAGATTCTTTTACTGCATATTAAAGCGTCACATAAAAAACTGTGACATTACGCTAATGCACAGTAAAATAATCTACTGCACATTAAGCATCACTTAAAACCTGTGCAAATGTGCTACTGTGCATTAGGGCAGTCAAATGCACTTTAATGTAGTACCTCACATTTGGGGGTACTAAATTTAATAAGCATTAGTAAAGTCACATTAATGCATGTGTAGACATGCCCACTGAGTAGCATTTGCGGCACCTACACTACATAAAAGCTCTCTGAAGTCAACATTTATTTCACTGTTTCAAAGAACTGGAAACCACGTCCTCTAGCAAGTGTGTACCTCTTCGGCAGCATGCAGTAAACTAGCTATCGGGTCCCATCAGAGAATTTCTCTGACCTCAAAGGATTTGCTGCTGGGTTGAAATGTACCGCACTCAACCCAACTCTCTTTCTTAGCTATCTAACTCTCTCAGCGTAAACAGCGTTTTGGACGTGTGGTTTCAATGAAGCAGAGCTTAGCAGAGAAAATGCTTAGCAGAGTCACTTGTCCCTGCTTCTCCTCCTCGACTGACAGATCTCTCCTCCTCATGTTTTGGAATAACAACATCCTAACTCCCCATCTCTCCCAACTCCAAGGTACAGGTTCATCTTCTCTGTTTTCCTCCACCTTTCTTTCCCCTACTCCCCACCAGGCCTTGTATTGGAAGCAGCAAAGGTCTGAAAAAGGCTTTTTCTTTTCAAGGAGGAGGGTATTTGAGGCCAGGATATTCAGACATCCTGGGAAAATACAGCCTACAAAACCATGTGGTTAAGCCGAAGATGCCAGTATCTTATCCACAATCACTATAAACTATGATTATTTTATCACTTCCATAAATGTCACTTCAGCAGTTCCATACCAGAATGGGGGTGGACTTCCCTGTTTCCTCCTTGCAGGACAGTGCACATATGCAGTCTTGTTTATCCTTGACCCTCTCAGCAGAAAATCAGCTGAAACTCTCTGAAACATCTTGTTTAAACAAAAGAAGTGCTCAACAGTACAACTGCTTATTCTTGTGGCACACTGCAGTAGCCCTCATTATTCTGAGCAAGTGTCCTGAGCAAAATCATTCAGGGGACAAATTAAATCAGCTCCTGATGGTTCACTGAGTTCCCACTTTGCAGTCCAGAACCATTCACTGAAAAGAAAAAACAGGTTTCTGGTCCTTATGGTTGCAGAGGTAACCCTTAATTTAAAAATAAAATGCAAAATAATACCATATGTGTTTCTATCAGGGCCACTCTGCAGACACTTCATCGGAAGTTTTGCAGACACTTTATACCGGGTAGGAGAAAGAAAGGATACTCTCCACATTGTACGATCATGCTGGCAGAGGGCAAAATTCTCTCTACAAAAGTCCATATTGACTACATGCTATCTACATTCATGCGAGATCAGACTGCAGCTTCAAATAACCATGATCTTGCTCCTGTTCCCCGTTGTGTATGCAGAAGGGCCTCTTCAAATGATACCATGATTCAATGGAGTCTCATGTGTTTCACACACTGTATCTATTCCTCTAGCAAGAAATCCCCAGCTTCTTCAGGACTCCTGCTTTTAAAGTTGAGACAACCAAGCTAATTCTGTACTGACGTGCTGTTTGC